GGAGTTCTTTTTGTGAAAGAGAATTGTGTGATCTTGGAGCAAGTATGAACCTGATACCATTATCTATGTTCAAGAAACTAGGCATAGAAGCTGCAAGGCAAACAACTATCACATTATAACTGGATGATAAATGCATTTTCTATCCACAAGGAAAGATTGGAGATGTGTTAGTTCGGGTTGACATGTTTGCCTTCCATGTTGTCTTCATTATCATGAATTTTAGTGCTGATGAAATGAAGACCCTCCTATCCTTTTCAAACGACCATTTCTTGATACTTGAAGAACTTTTATAAATGTTAAAGAAATAGAACTCATTATGAGGGTGAATAGGCGAAAAGTGGTGTTAAAAGTACTCAATGCATTGAAGTACCCGGAAGAAGACATGGATGATTGCTCATTAGTATCTAGTTGGGATTCTCTTATTCACAAGAAGGAAGAAGGTCATCAAAATCAAGGATGATTTTGAACAATAATTATGCACGAAAGAAAAGAGAACACTGGTTAGAGAATGTATCATATGTGAACCTCACCTCTTACTTGAAGAAAAAGTGGAACACTTTGAAACTCTATAGATTACAACTGAACTGGTGGAACACAATGTCCCCTCCATAAACAAACCTCTTGAATTAGAATTGAAAAAAACTCCTACCCACTTTCTATATGCTGACCTATAGGCAGGATAAAAGTTACCAACTATTATTTCAATTGATCTATCTGATGAGGAGGAATGTTAACTTTAACGATAGCTCCTTATGCACTCATCTATTATGTCTACAAAGCAACATGTTTCATTTATAGCAGGTCCTTTTATGAACTAGGATAATATGAACTTGATCTTTTCCTCACCAACCTCGAAGGTAAGCTTTTCTCCGTTTATATCTATTATCGCCCTGATAGTATCTAAGAAAGGTCTACCTAACAAGATCAATATTGTGAAAAACGATGTCTTGAAATAAAGTATAAATGATTTATTTATGATCAAGAAATACACAAAGGTTAGGATTAACGGAAAAATAAGAAGAACAACAAGGATTGGTTATAATTGTTATTCTTTATTTTCTCTTTGAATCAAATTACAAGTACTCAAGAATAACAAATAACCCTCTCACCCTAATTAGGATTTTCCACACTTAAGATGAGAGACTAGTATGTTATTTATAATAAAACCTAACATACTAAACTAATAACCTTTTCAACAATTACCCATTATAAGCTAACTTAGGGTACAAGCTAACTTAAACAATTGGATCCTTAACACAAGGTCCAAGTCGACATAATAATTCGACACTACATACTAGAACTGACATCAACTATAGTATGTAAATACTTCGACATCAGCATGTGAACAATCTTCGACTTCATACTTGTCTCCTGTCGTATCATGAAAGTCATCCTAGTTGACAGTACTAGAGTTCGATCCAATATCTCACAATCAAGATATGAGAGTCATCTTTAATATTCATTACTAGAAAATCTGTAGGAATATACAGCTGACCAATTCTTATTGGAATGTCTTCCAGTATTCCTATTGGGTACTTTACTGATCGGTCAGCGAGCTGAAGGGACATCTTTGTTGGCTTTAAATCTCCTAAGTTGAGTCTCTCATAGATGGAAAGATGCACCAAACTAACACTAGCTCTTAAGTCACATAAGGCTTTGTCAATGACGTACTTGCCGATATCACAGGGAATCGAGAAACTCCCTGGATCCTTCAGTTTGGGTGGCATTTTATTTTGTATAATGGTGTTGCACTCTTCAGTGAGTGCCACCGTAATGTCGTCATCAAGTTTCCTCTTGTTTGTTAAAATCTGCTTTAAAAACTTAGCATACAAAAGCATTTAGGTAATTTCCTCTAAAAAAGGAATAGTGATATAGAGCATCTTCAGGAGCTCCACAAACTTCTTAAATTGCCCCTCGATTTTGGACTTTGCAAGTCTTAAAGGGTAAGGAACGTGTGGCTTATAAGGTGGATTTTAAGTGTATAAATGCCCGCTTTCGTGTGTCGGCTTATACTCTTAAAATCACCTTTTTGAAAACTAGATTTTCTAAATTAAAAAAAAATGCTTTTGCAATGTTTAGAATTAATTTCTCAATTTTTCTATAGTTGGATATAGGTTTCACTCTTTCGAGTTGAAACCAATGTCATTATGTTTCTGCGTTCGCAACAAACTTTAATTATAAAAACAAAAGTTATTCAAACATAAAAATAATTCTTATTATACATTAAATTTACGACTTATTAGAGCATTGTCGGTACGACAATTTTCACATTCCAGACTAAACTAATTTAAGCTGACATGGCAAAAATACTAAACATACCACATGTACTCATGTTCATAGTACAAATAATAAGCATTAAAATAAACATGCACGAAACAATTGCAGTAAAGTAAAAGAAAAGAGGAACCTGGATAATAAATGTTGAATGTAATAATAATATACTCCAAATGGAGACTTTAATCTAGTACAAAAAGCTAAAAATAAAGTGCGGAAAAACTATACTGACAAGATTAAAGCAACAGGTTCATAATGACAGTCAGATTTGCTCCAAACTTAAAACTAAAATTGTAATCATTACTCAATATGACCAATTATCACTTTTACACGATATATTTTCTGGCTAATATAAGGCTTGGATGTTGAAACTGGAGTTCTAATGGCCTATTTATAGCGCAAAATTGTGTTGGAGGTTACTAAAACGCGTCTAAAGTGCTGGATGAAGTGAAGGAAGTGGAGAGACTGAGTCTTGTATTGAGGGGGAATTTTCTGGACTAAAGAGTTCATGACTTTCCATCTGTCACGCTAGTGACAGTACTTTCCTTCATGAAGGGTCGTGAGTCATCTGACTCAAACACTCATTCTTTATTTTGTTGACTTTGGTTGATGGGTTGACCTCCCATATGGATGACGACCATCATGACAGTCAGGGTGGTCGTCATGATAGCTGAAATCTTGCTTTTTCTTTCTGTTTTCGTCGTTTTGTTGCGCGGAAGCTTCCAACCACTAAGTACCTGAAATAGACGTACACTACCGACATAACTACAAAAAGACAAAAACGAAACTAAACACATACAAGTCGAGTCAAAATACACTATATGTTTCCGAGTTATCATTTACCTACACCCGTTCATTAAAATGTGGAAACCCTTGCTTATTTTTCATTGCATCTAAGAGGTGATGTAGTGGCTCTCACTCTTTGACATTGTACTCGAGCCATACAACGCGTTGCTTATAGGAAACGACCTGGCATTCGCATTATTTTGTGGTTTATCTATGTCATATAAATTAAACAAAGTTTTACGTTGATTATTAAAAGTTTAACACAACTGTCTCCTTTTATCAAGTCCTTGGGACTAACTATCCATAGCAAATCTAACATAGGCATAGATAGAATTTTATAAATAAGGACCCCATTTGTTTTACATTTTTTAAATGATTTTTATAGTGTTGCATATTTTTGTTTAAAAAAATTTATAATTTTTTTTTTCGTAAAAGTTTTAAATAAAAATTTGGTTTGAATAGTTATTCTTAAAATGTTATTTTAAATATTTTATCATTTTATTGAAACTTTTTTGGATGTCAAAATTTCAAAAAAAAAAATATTTAATTTTGAAACTATTAAAATAATTTTTAATAAAAATCATTTTTAAAATATAACTTTTAAAAAAAATTGCAATTTAAACTTTATTTTTTTCTTCAATGCATATTTATGTTATAGAATGTCAAATTAAAAAAAAAATTAAAACTTGCAATGTTCTAAAAATATGAAAAATTTATTTTTTTAAAGATAATGCAAACAAGTCCAACATCTAATTTATAATATCATTTTTATTAACTAATAAAAGAAAAGTGTGATGTGACGAAATACCCATCTGTAATGGAAAAATATTTTACATTATATATTCATTTTTCTCATCTAATAATGTGTTTTCTATTCTCATAAACTTAATGTAAAATACATATTTAAATAGCTTAACATTAATTATACCTATACAATAATAAAAAATTTAAGATTGCATATAAATGAAAAAACACATGTACATGCAATCTTCATGAACATGTCTAAACTGAGAAAAAAACATACACATTCCCTACTCTACTCTCCCAAATTTACCTCATTCTTTTTTCTTCTTTTTCTAACTACCAAAACTTACCCTTTTATCATCATTCATATCACATGAATCATTCCATTACATTATATTACCTACATCCATCATTCACAAACATTTATATCTATCTCTATTATTATGTACTAATCTGTTATGCATGGCCCCACTGTATTTATACCTTTGACTCTCATTACACTTCCAGGCTCACACGTATAATATCACTTTATTTCATCTTCCCAAAATCACTTATTTATTTAACTTAAAAATAATTTAAAAATTAGTTTTGATGTTTCCAATATTGATCATTCCGCATTTGTGCTCTCCCATCATGTGACTCTTTCTCCTCTTTTCAAGATCTCATTTCTCTTCTTCACTTCCTGCAAATTTCTCTTCAAAATTTTCATATTCATGTAAGTGTTCTTTTCATGAAAATCCAATATATATATTATTGTAACTAACTTCTAACTAACGCTTCTGTTAAACACTGCCACGTGTCATCTGTTAAGATTAGATATATATATATATATTATATGAATATGAATATGAATATGAATATGAATATGTGAATTTCATTTCATATGATATGAGTTTGGTTTCATTAAATTTTATGCGTTGTAATTAGGTATGCTTCTCTGTCAAATTCTGTTAACTGGTTGGTGGCTGAAAATTTAATTTTCAATTTTTATTAGTGTATCAGATGAAGTAGTTCAGATTCACTGTTTCATAATTTATGGTGGTAATTGAAACCTTTTTGTGGCCACTTAAGTTCTGACAAGTACTTTTTTTCCTTAATTAATTGAAAAAAATGATATAAATGGCTGTTTCTTTTAAAACTGTGATTTTTTTTTCTGATGGGAGTGTTTTCTTGTTTGGTTTTTTAGAGATACAAAGATGGAGAAAAGGAAAAATATTGTGCAGTATAGAGAGGGATTGGATAAGACTCTTGCCTCATTTGGTCTTACAAATGATCAGAAACTTAAATCGCTTGTCGAAAGTCAAGTTCGATGTTCTTCGCAATCGGAGACCGAATTGGAAGGTAGTTAACTTGTATTGTAGCATTCTAATGTTTTTCTTTGAGGTTAGTTGAATTGTTAATCGACTTAGGTGCTTGAGTTTATCGCGTTTTATTCAGGTTATGCGGAGAAGCTAGAAATTAAGACTGCTGAGTTATCGAATTTTCTTGATATGGTGAGAAGTGCTTCTGCAGATGAAAACGGAGGATCTAGTACATCAGACACTGGTTGGAAAGTAGGCTGTCTAGTACTAGTAGTACTCTTTGTAGTTGTGGCTAAGTTAAGTTTTCGTTGTAACTTTTCTTTTTTCGACAGTTAAAACAGGATAACGAGGAATTCCGCGTTATGTACCGCGTAGGACCAGAGGGAACTCCCTATCATACATTGCTGGTTGAAGGCTATGTAGATGGACCTGTTGATGTTTGTGAGTTGCATAAATCAGTCAAAAAATTTAGCATCGTGGTTTTAATTTCAACGGAAAAGACCGCGTTATAGATTTTGATGCCTGAAATTTTAATGATTTATTTTGTTTATTACTACAGCTCTATGCCTCTCATGGGAATCAACACTATATAAGAAATGGTGAGAATCATCTTGCAGATTATGTGCTTTCAGTTTTCTGCATATTATGACGTAGAACACTAACATGTACAATATTCAATGATACTTCTTAGGTGGCCTCAGTTTACGATTCCGTCTTTCAAAGTACTTGCATCTGATTGTTTGCAGAAGGTCCAAACTGGCGAACAAATTGCGCTAGTAAGGTTTGTTTTGCGAGCATCAATTGAAGAACCTAACACTTTTTAATGTCGCTTACCATTTTTAAAAAATCTTCACTTTTGAATGCTTATTATATTGCTCTATTTTGTAAGAAAGGATGAAGCCACCATGGCCACTGTCTACAAGGGAGGCTATAGTTCATTATTATCTCTTTGAGTACTTCCAAGATGACTTGATAGTTGTTCTTTTGAAATCGGTACTCACCTCGATACTTTTTTCTTTTGTTTCTTTTTTTATGAAAAGCTAATTCTGAATTATATATAATCTTTATAGTTTAAGAAATTTGTGCTCGATTTTCTTTCAGGTCACGGAGCCAGAGAGAGTGAATGAGACTATTGACGGTTTCAACAATGATGTGATTCCAGAAGCAAATGGTGTTGTGAGAATTGATTTGGTGGGAGGTTATGTTATACAAAAAGTGACTTCTGAAAGAAGTTATTTTCGGTGAGTTTTAAGTGAGTACTCAAACATGAGCAGTAGCTTGAAAGGATTTCATATTTTTTGTTGATCCGCAATAGATAGTTTTGATCATAGATTTTGCAAATGCGTGCTTTACCTCAAGGTAATATTTTTGTACTACGGAGTTATGATAAATGTACTTAATTATTTTTTGCTGAATTTTGCAGAACAATAGCGAATTTGGATATTAAGGTGGATTTTATGCCTCCTTCCCTTGTAAATTTCATTTCAAGGCAACTTATCGGCAGCGGTTTTAGACTTTATCAGAAGGTTGTACAAAACATCGCATTCGCGTTGTTATTTTGTATGTTCTCTATGATCATCTTCTGAAATTAACCATCCCTTGATATTGTTATAGGCTGTGGCCTCTATGATGAACAATGACAGAGAATTCAGCAAGGCCTTGACAGATTCGTTGTATGTTAGAATTCGTGAAGCTCTATATAGTACCTCTGAATCAAATGCTATGGTCGAGGAGGAGCTTATGCAAGTTGCAAGCATTCTTCCCGCGGAAGAACTTATTCAAAGTAAGCAAGATAGCGAAAAAGATATATCCCGAGATAGTTACAATGGTGAGATTTTAGATGCTGGTAGTGAAGAGACTGTACAAAGCGAGAAGGATATCAACAAAGTACATGAAATTCCAATTGAGGAAAGTGGCTCGCCTTTTGTACTAAAGAGCAATACGAATTGTGAGATTGTCGACGCAGATAGTGAAGAGATTGTAATAGAAGCAAACATTGAAGAGATTGTACAAATCGAGAACAATACGAATAAAGAACATGACATTTCAATTGAGTATGATGATACAAGAGGTGTACAGAAAAGAAAGAGCAATGTATATATCAATTCAAATGTAAAACAGGCTTTAGAAACATTAGAAAGGGCGATTTCAGCAGTTCGGAAGTACGGATTTCACTCGCGCAGATTCTCTTTTACCTTTGCTAATGAAGCGGCTGCCTCCAAAGAAAAGGGTGATGAAGTTGATCAATATTCCGCAAAGCTTTTTCAACCATCTGCGAAAAATGATATCGGTATACCACGCGAAAGCTCAGATGACCTCTATGAAATCCAAACCATCAGGTGAGTCGAACCAACAAAACCGACTTGTAAGGTTAGAAAGTAGTTTATTCCAGTATATTTGATTGACACTCATATTTACTTTCCGGTTCTTCAGGCACGCCGGAACGGATTATAACAAAGTAGTACTGGCTTTACCGAATCAAAATCTCTTGAGACCGATTGAAGCGAGTCAGGTTGATTCATATTCTTTGAAAACTGAGACAACACTCGACCAGCTTTTATGCGATAACAAGGAATATACAGAACCAGATATGTCTTCGGGCGATCCAATAAAATCAAGCAGGCAGAACAAAATAAATAGCCTTGTAACTGAAGGTATCTCTTCAGATGTACCGAAACAGTTAAACAAGAGGAAAAATTATAGATACTGTTGTTTTTCGTATTAGAACTGAAGAAAATTTGGTACTTAAGAGTTTGTTGGTAGCTTGCAACTCAAGAAAGGCTCAACAATTTCGAAATCATTGATATGACAGTCTTATGTTGGATTATTGTTGTCCCCTTTTAAAAAGATAGTAGTTTTTTTACTGTTGTTTTTACCTGACTATTGGGTTATGCATTAAATTTTTTTGATTATTTTTCTTTCTTTTGACTCAATTAATAAGAGATCAATATTTAGTAGGATTTAACACATCATCTACTACCAACATGTTTACAATCCATCTAAAAGAGGACACATGTGTACACCCCAAAGAGATAATCTATGTAAGAACTTGAAGTAGTCCCCAAGCTGTCTTCGTTTCTGAGTTGCACCAATCTGATAGATCATTAATATAAATTCTGAGTTGCACCAATCTGATAGATCATTAATATAAAAAACATACGACAATGACACCACTACTTATTGTTAAACTATATTGTGATATCATTGTATTTCTTTTTCAGTATCTTTTACAAGAAATAAGTGAGGTATTAAAGGTATTTTTATTTGTTGTTGTTAGGGATGGACAAATTTGAACCGTCCGATTGAAACTGATCGGTTTGATATCTTTTTTGTGCAAATGGATTGGGTTGGGTGTTAGTTTGATTCGGTTGTTTATTTAAATAGTATAGGGTTGTTTCGGTCGTACTCGAATGCTTATTTTGGATTTGACAAATATCGAAACCTATCAAACTTAATTAATATATATTTTATTTATTTTTATTACTATATAACTGAATCACTATAAGAATGAGATTCATAATGTTAAAAGATATTAGTATTTTTTATAATTTAATGGTTGTATTGTGTAATCTGGAACATAAAAGTAATGCAATATAAAATTTTGAATATTATTAAATTTATGGTTTAAAATATGATAATGATCAAATAATTTTGAAAATATTATCCCGTAATAATAATGTTTTTACTAAGAAAAAAAAAGAAATAAAAAATATTCTTTAATTATTTTGAAAATTTGATTTTTTTATAAAAAAAAATTAAAAATAGTAATTTTTATAGGTTTGTTCTAATAAATATTAAACCGACATGACTTAACCGTCAAACCGACTTAACTGAATCTGACGAAAATCGAATTTTATCGGTCGAAATTGAGCCATAAAAATAAAACCATGGTTTGCGTCAGATTTAAGTTTTAGGCCCGAAACCGCCCGATTGTCCAGCCCTAGTTACCACAATCAGAATATTATACCTTTTAAAATTATTCTTACAATCTTGTAATGGACAACTCACATAAACACACACTCTTTCAAGTTGGTGCAAAGAGAATCTTGAATGTCCAACTTATCAAGTGAGTTGTAGAATTTTATCCTAAATACAACTGAAGGTGAGAAAAATACACAAGAAGGGGGGTTTGAATTATGTATGTCCAAAAATCTCTTTTCACTTAGGATTCTAAAACATCACGTTCAGAGTCTGATGTTAGAGTGAGTAACAATAGTGAAACGTTTGCTTCTTTTTCTTAACCTTGTTCAGAGTCTAAGATGTCAAGCTTAGATTCTGATCCAAGTAAGAGGTTGAATCAGATCAGAGTGTGACTTCAGAGTTTGTTGCACAATGAAATGCAAATGCAAAAGTAAATAAAGATACACCCAATATATCCTGGTTCCTCTCAAATGAGAATAGTCCAGTCCCCTTGCAGTACAAATTTTTTTAACTATAATCAATCAAATTACAATTGCTTAAGCGAACAACTTAAGACTGAAGGTGGGAAAAAGTTCATAATTATGTTTTCTGTTTTCTTAATTTGCGTCTGATCAAAGTTCAGAATTTAAAATGGTGTTCAGATTCTGGTTATACTTAACAATGGATGTTAACAGAAGCAAATAAATAATAGCAGAAGACACAGAGATTTATATCGATTCCTCCCAAATGAGAGTAGTCCAGTCCCATTGTTTCACAAGATATTTTCACTATAATCAAATCATGATTAAAATTGCTTATGCATTCTACATAAGACTTTTACAATGGTCATACCCTAAGTCCGAGACTTCTTGCTTAAACCACTAAAGCTCAAGACTTCCGTATTCAAGTCCTATAAACTCAAGACTTCCTTACTTAGACCCTCAGCCTAAGACTTTCCTACTCAGGTCCCTCAGACCCGAGACTTCCTGCTCAAGCCATTCTGCCCCGAGACTTCTTGATTAAACTCCTTCGGTTCAAGACTTTATGCTTAGACCGCAACCTAACACTTTCCTGCTTAAGCCCCTTAGGCTCAAGACTTCTGCTCAGACCCTCGATCTGATACTTCCTTGCTCAGATTCCACGAACCCAAAACTTCTGCTCAATCAATCCACTTGATTAAGACTTTCAATGCTCTAGCACATAGTAGGAGACTTACATGGCTCAAGCATCTTGGCGAGATACTTTGATGTTCTTAATCAATCTATTTGATTAAGACTTTCATTGCTCTAGCACATAGTAGAAGACTTACATGGCTCGAGCATCTTGGCAAGAGACTTTGATCTAAACTGTTAAACAACATGTTCGGCAGAATAGAGAACAAGGTGTACTTGATACAAATATCAGAGGTACAGGAAAATCACCATAACAAAGATCTAAAGCTCTTAAGATTTCAAAGATATTCAATGTTTAAGAAATCTTAAGGCTTTTATAATTACAGCCTACAACAAAAATTCTGCATAACCAATTGTGTTGATGATGGTTAATCTTGTTACTCCTCCATCAAGTTGGTCCTTGTTAAAGATTCAGTTTGAACCTTCGACTACTTATATAGCATTTGCAGAAGACTAGCCTTGGAGAGATAACTTGATCAAGTGTCTTTGATTTCTCCATAGTACAAGAGATGTTGAAGATAGATACACCAAAAGATATCAATCCATTGTGTATCGTGTTTAACCATTAAGTCTTAAAAGAGGTTATGTACTATAGAGATGTTGAGAGTAGATATTTGTAAAGCCTGCCAACTTTTCTTGAGCCTTATGAACTAATACTCTAGCTGACAAACTGATTTGACAATGCAACTTACTTTCTGCAGTACATATAGCTTCAGCTTTATCACTAACTCTGAATGATCACCAGAAGCCAATTTACATTCACCAAGTGTATAGACAATTATGTTGTTTCTTCTGATGTTGAGGCCTTTAGCTACAAAATATACGTCAGACATCACTTAGAGAGTGTTTTTCAGATTCTGCACCACTAGAAGCTAACAATTCAGCTTCTCTCAAGTGCGCCCTTGTATAACAGATTCTGAATATATATATATATATATATATATATATATATATATATATATATATATATATATATATATATATATATATATATATATATATATATATATATATATATATATATATATATATATATATATATATATATATATATATATATATATATATATATATATATATATATATATATATATATATATATATATATATATATATATATATATATATATATATATATATATATATATATATATATATATATATATATATATATATATATATATATATATATATATATATATATATATATATATATAAGTATTAGAACCTGCATACATGAAACACACATCAAATATAACCATTGTTCTTTTAATACTTTGTTATCATTAAAACCCAAAGAAAATGTCATGAACAAATCTTGTTCTAACAAAGACTTCCTGCTTAAACCCTCAGTTCAAGACTTCCTGCTCAATCTATCCAAAATGAGACTTCCTGCTCAATCTATCCAAAATGAGACTTCCTGCTCAAGCCTTCAAGCATGAGACTTCCTTGTGCCTAAACGACCTATTCAGGACTTTCTGCTTAATCTATTTAGATCGATACTTTCTTGCTTAAACCCTAGGTTCAAGACTTCTTGCTCAATCACACTGGTCGAGACTTCCTACTCTTCCCTCAAACATGAGACCTTAATACTCAATCACATTAAATGAGAGTTCCTACCCTACCCTTAAGCATGAGAATTCAATACTCAATATATCCAGAATGAGACTTATTATGAGCACAAAGGCTAGATTCTTCAGATTCTCTTAACAAAGAGTATGGTTTTAACCTTGTGTTTATATGTGTGCTTCTTAGATAAACAAATACACAAATATTTACACTCTTGAGCTGAATATAAATTATTTGCTTTTGAGCGTAGAAGAATGAAGTTTTCATTCTTCTTCTCTCCTTGCACAAATTTTCTTCTTGTTGTGCCTTTCTATTCTGTTGATCATATTCATATATTATTTTTTCAGAATATATGTGAATACGTCTTACTCTACTCTCACACACTTAGCCCTTCTGGTTATATTTTCTTTTTGAGTGTGTTTCTCTCATATGTGTTTTTTGTTTTACACTGTCTCTCTCAACCCATTTATATGAACTTGTATCACATCCTTATGAACACAATCACACATTCTTCAACTCCCATTCATTCTCTCATTAAGAGATTTCATTGAATGTTTTCAATCTTCTTCTTTAAACAGATGTTAAGATTAGATCCATTGAAGATTGACACTACCCATGGTACAAGTAGTCGTTAAAGGTCTTTAGCTAGTGTGAAATAAAGTGAGCTAAAAACTCATCTAGCATAAAGACGTTAAGAGGAGCAGATCAGAGTTCAGAACAATTGGAGAGATAAGATCCTGACAACATTACGTTATACTTATTAGACATAAAGTAGTGTACCATTGTCACATGATCTTCTTTAGATAACTTCTAACTAAAGACTTCTTGTAGACGTTTGTTGAAACTTGTTCAAAGTCATTATTATCTTTATACTTAACTTCCTGAATCAGAGGCTTTTTATAGAATTAATATAAACATGATCAAAAGGTAAAGTATGTCTTTAGAACCTGATTAGAATGAGACTTCAGAGTCTTGAGTTCATAAGTTCTGAGCTTGTCTTAATCAGAGTCTTGATCAGAACTAGTATGGATGAACATTTTCAGAGTTGATGACTTCACGTAGACAAAATCTCTTTGAAGCAGTA